GCTGATTCTCGGCGGCACGGCCAATGCCCGCTCCGGCCATATCTCCACTGCACCGCCGGCTACTTCGTCCGGGCCACTGACCTCCGGCAACGGAGTTATGCATGACTCCATGTTTCGGTACCTGACATCCGTTTTTACTAACCACCGTTAAATTGTGTACGAGCAGGAAAAGATAAAGGGAAATTAGTTTTTGGAGTACCAGGCAGCGTCTGGATTGTCTGACTTGCAAATGTGGGGAGTTTTGAAGACCTTTTTGTTCTTGATGCATTGGATGTGGTTGATGGGCTTCTGCCATATTGCAAGATCATTCTTCTCCACCACTTTCTTCCAGCACAGTCTTCTGGCAACCTCTTCAATAGAGTCTTGTTCTTCTTTCAAGTCCTCTTGTGTTCTTTCCCAGCCTCTCCAGTACTTCTTCCAGCGAATCGGAGGGCCGGAGAGAATCCAGTAACCACCGGGCCTCAGAACTCGGTCGAGTTCGATCAAGTACAATCCGTCTATGAAGTTTCAAAAGTAGTAATTAACTATAATCATAGCAACCAGACCTATATGTTGATTAATTGATTAAGTTAGATTTGTGAGTTTACCATTTTTGGCCCAAGGGATGAGACAACGGGAGCAGTGGGCCATGTCGAAAGCCCGGGCCGGGTAAGGGCTCCTTTGAGAGGCCATGACGCCAATCATGGCGGGAACTCCACGCTCTAAGGCAAATTGAACCTGAGCTTCATGGGTATCCCTAGGGGCAAAGGACATGGCCAAGATGTCCCTCTTCAGCAGATAAGCACCCCAACTTGCTACCTAAAACACCCCAAACACACTTTTTAATCCTACGTTATTTCATAATCAATAAAAACATACCCATAAATGAATATCTATCTCACATTATCATTGATGACAAAGTTATTTTTTATAGTCACGATACCAAAACATATTTTTGCTAATTATCAAATTACACGTAAAGATTAAGATTCTTTTTTTTTACTAAAGAAGAGATTTAACTTACACAATTTATAAAGAAAGACATTAATATTTTGACCCCTCTGACCCTTCTTAGGTTCGCTGCAAATAATTCGAAAATACTACTATATACTGTTTGGTATTGTACCATCACATAAGAACATATTTGCAATTATACTTTGATCTTGTCTAACCCTTCTAATAATTGTAAAAGAGTAGAGGTAAAAAGATCATAAATTTATTTTACCATTTTTTCTTTTTTATATTTTTAACAATTCGAGCCTAGTTTAAGATAAAACACCTACTTCTATCCTAAAAATGACTCAACTGATCAAGATATTAATGCAGAAGCAAAACCATAAAAGAAAAAAATCCAAAACGTATATATAACATGCTTAACAAGTGGTATTGAGGTCAATCACTACACAATCTCTATCATACATAGGACATTTCATTCTTCAAGAGTGCACGATCAACACATATTTAAAGCGCATATAATCAATACAACCACAATTTAAGAGATTCTACAATCGAAATTACTGGTAGCCTATTGGATTTTATAAATTTTCTCTCTCTAATTTACCCCTAAACCAGTGATGTTTCCGAATATCCAACCCTTCTCTCGACAAGACGAAAGCATTAAATAAAACAAGAAAATGTCAAAAACACAATGTCCGAAAATTGTTGCAAAGATTTAACAGGCAAAGGAACATTTTCGAGAAGAAATTCACTTACACCACAGCCGGTATCAATGGCGGTCCGGATCTTCCCGGTAGTGAGGGGAATGAGCTCGTTAATGTCATCAATATAGGCATCCGCTCCGCGGGGGAACATCGTGCCGCCGCCGGGGAATCGGAACCGATCACCTTCCACCTGAATCCAATTCTGCACCGCCTTCTCGATACTCAACTCTCTGTGAGGGATGTTACCGTACCACGCGTAATCGCGGCTCTGCGGCCACTTGAACGGCGTCTTGTACTTCGGCGGCGCCGGAATCATACACAGGAGCAGTTCTTCCTTGGCAGGGC